GGATTTTGATTTCATCTGAATCGATTTTCATGGATTTGTGTTCACTATCTGATTCTTTTATGTATTACAAAACCCTCACCAGAGGCTAAGACTGGTGTCTTCTGGGACATTGAGGATTGTCCAATCCCTAATGGTCTCGATCCCGTTTCGGTTTCTCAAAACATCAAATCAGCTCTCGCGAATCAAGGTTATCGTGGTGAGGTTTCAATCAATGCTTACAAAGAGAAGAAGACGATTCGAAATGACTTTGAACTCGCAGGAATCAACTTGGTAATCGCAGGTTGGGTTTGCTTAAAAAAAAAACACTCTTCTTTTTAGTTTGTTTGTGTCTGTACGTATCTTTAGAGATCTCTCTGTTGTTTTTTTTGTGTGTTTTCAGGAGATAAACATGGTAGATCCATGAGTATGTTTAACGCTTTTTTTGGCTGGGTACTGAGGAATCGTGGTGCAAATACAAATTTGTTGATAATCTCAAGAGACAAGACCGAGTTCTTCACTCATCTCGAAGGCTGTGTAGCGGAAAATCACAATATCCTCTTAGCAGAGTCTGAAGAACCACCAGAAAGATGTTCCAAGTGCGGGATTGCCTTGGACAAGCCTCCTATCTCCGACAAGCCGGTTTTCGGAAATGAAGAATGGTTTTGGACAAGCCTAGCAACTGGAGGAGAACCCATCAAAAGACCAGAGCTTTGTACTGTTGAGGGTAAGGATACTGAGGAGTAGCCATGGCTAAGATGCTTTCCGTATTGTTGTTGATTAGTTTTCTAATTCAACGATCTAGTTCTAGTTATTCCTCTCTAATACATTGTCACTCAAAGTAGTTTGGTAGGTACATTATTAGTGTGTGTTATGTTAATGCTATGCAAAAAACCACTAAGTAACAACCATCTTCTTATTTCATTTCATAAACCGTATAATCGCATCAATGCAGTTTCTTTATAACACCAAAACATAAAACAAATATATAGACACATAAAAGGAGATTCCATCAAGCAGCTTCCATTTTAAGCGTTGAGCATCCGTAGATAATCATCAATGATCGACATTGCAGATGAACGATAGCCCGAGCCGAAGAGGTTATAATGATTCAAGTAATGATAGAGCAAATACAGATCCCTTCTCTTCTCAAATCCTGGTTGTTTTGGCATTACCTTGAGCAAGTTTAACAAACAAAACAAACAACAGTGTAAATATAAACAAAGAACCATTACACTGATATTTAGTTGATACGGAAACTGAGAGAAGAGGAAGAGTGTATGTGTGTGTGTGGAACCTTGAAATAGGCATTGTAGAAAGATTCTCCAAATCCCGCGCACCACGACATTCCAAAATCCGCCTCGTTATGCCCATCTACGGAGGAATAAGATCAAAACGTGCTTGAAAATGGTACAATATATATCAAGAATTTATGAATGAAAGCTTATACAGTAACAAGCAGGATCAAGAATGACGGGTTCGCTGTTCTTGTCGTATGCGATATTCCCGCTCCAGAGATCTCCATGTAACAAGCACGGTTCTATGACAACATTCTCAAAGAGAGATGCCATGTTCTGTATCAGTGTATGACCTGTTCAAAAATGTTTCTCCAAATGTTAAGCCGATCTCTTCTCACGAAAATAAAAAAAACGACAGAGAAGAGAGAAAGAAAACCTTTCTCGTAAATTGCAGAGTCACCGTATCGATCCCTAGCTAACTTTAACTGGTAACCCAATCTCTTCTCGCCATAAAACTCAATCCAATCCGATGACCAAGTATTGATCTGCGGGGTACTAGAATAGGCACATTGCGGTCGCTAAGTCTTTGAGAAGACAGGAACTCAAATCAAAGGGATTAAGATTTCAGAATGGGATGCATTCCACCTGCCAATAGTGTTGTCAACCTCAAAGCCAAAGCCTTTCGAAGACTTCCCGGCTTTATGCATCTCAGCTAGCTTCAATCCTAATTCAGCCTGATGACTAAAGAACCATGAACCCATGAAAGTAAAGCTCTTAACATTGGCTCACACTTATATTCATCATTTATCACCTGGTGGCCTCTTGATCCTCCAAACTCTATAAACTCCATGATAATATAAGATCCACCTGTTGGCAACGCTCCAACCTATTAAAATTTTCAGACAAGAACACCTTTGATCAGAGAGAAGTAAAAACATATCTCTGCACTAATCAAAAGAAAGTTCTTCACTTGCTTTGTGTGGCTTAGGTACACGGATTGTTCTGGTTTCATACATAGCTTCAAGACCAAGAGCTTCTCCTTCAAACATCTCAGGTCCAATACTCCTAAACAACTGTTACAAATTAAAATTCTGATTGTTTGTATATATCTCAAAACCGTGACATTTCTTTTACCTGTTTGTCTTAACGAAAAAAGAAGCTGCATCGGTCTGGTAATGGCTTGCAAGATTGATGCATCCACCACCAACAAAACTAATCTTTGTGATTTGAGTCGCTTTTCCTTCTGTAAGAATCCATTCACGAATTGGATCCTCACTCATTGCAGCTACTAACAAAGTAATCCACAATCAATGAAATTTTCATTAGTGAAATTCAAATAGCAAGCAAGACCAGTGTTATTGATCGATTATAAAAAAATATGCAAAACCCATCAAGTGATTAGAGCGAATACAACTTGATTGAATCAAAAGAGTAAGTAAAAATTTCTCTTTTTGACATGAGAGAAATCAAACATTGCTCATCAAAAACAAGC